ATTATATAATTTAACTTTTTAATTAAAAAAATATTATATTAAAAAATAATGAGATGTCATGTATATATGATATAATTTAAATTATATGAACATGATAAATATTTTAACATGTCATGTATATATGATATAATTTAAATTATATGAACATGATAAATATTTTAACAATAAGAAAATAAAATTTTATAATTATTATTAAAACTTTAAATAATTTATTGTGAATAAATGAATTTAAAATATTAGACAATTGTTTAACTTTGAAGTTTTATGTTTTATAGAATTATAGTTGTGTTGAAAATAATTTTTTTAATTTACACAATTAAATAGTTTTTTATATTTTAATAATAAAGAACTAAATGTTCTATTGATAACTCATTCTATAGGTAGCAAGTCATTTGATCAATTTTAAATCTAATGGTTTATGTGTAACTAGTTTCAATCTAATGGTGAAAAAAAAAAGTGTATTAATATAGAAATTTTTAAGTATGTACTCTAGTTTTACCCTAAATAGATTATTCATAAGCACAATATTTGTAATATTGATGTTATAGATATTACTTTATATATCTTTGAAATGTTTAATTATTATATAATTTTTTATTTTAATAAATTTTACTGATTTTAATTTATATTATTTCACAAATATGATTTTTAACAAAATTAGTAATTTAAAATAATTTAAAATTAGTTTATCGAAAACTCTTTCTTTGATTTACCATGACTCAAACCCGAAACTTTCAACTCCTAATTTATCGAAAATAAAAAGACTGAGTAAATCATAAGAGAATGATCTTTATTAGTGTTTAGTGTTTTAATAATGTTTAAAAGTGTAGATAGTATATAATATTTAATGTTTTTGCTTAATTTAAGTCATTGCCTACTCAATACTTAATTTGAATAAGTTTCATCCTAAAATTTCATACTATTTTCCTTAGAAAGTGCTAAGTGGAATTGTTATGCAGTGCCATATAGAATTAGAAAAGTTGTAGTGCCAAGTAGGATTAGAAAAGTTAAGTTATGCTACATAGGATACTAAAATGCTTTAATTTATAAATAAATGCAAAACATAAATGCTAAGACATAATAATCAATAATATAGTAAGAAATAACAATCATTTAACTTAATAAAAGATTAAATAAATACTTAGCAAAAAATAGTCATTTCAAAATCATAAATTTTTATTTGACTATATAAATAAATAAAATTAAATAGAATATTTTATTTTCTAACATTATTATTATTATTTTCCAAATTATTATTATTATTTATTATATATTTTTTCAAAATCGGTTTTCTCTCAATTCATAATCTACAAGTTCATAAAATTTTTAACTACTATTTTATTAATTAAATTTAAACATTTGCACAAATTCTAAAGTTATTTGTCTACAAATTATCTACAAATCAATTTAATAAAAATTGACATATAAAAATTCTAATTAAATATTAAAAATTAATATTTATTAAATTATCTATGCATATCACAAATATATAACCATAGAACCAAATAGGATTGCATCTCTTAATTTTCTATCAGTTGTAATTAATTTACATAAATAATTACCACAATCAGTATATATAAATGATTATTTATTATCAATATATTTATCATCATTTGAACATAATAAAACCAATAATAAAAATTTAATTAAACAAAGGACTAAATGTTTTGATTTCAATTCAAGTCATTTAAAATTAATTTAAATAAATATTTTGCACAATAAATGGCTTAGTAAATGTAATGAATGATATGATATACATAACAACATTTTAAATATAGTTTTTAAATAACTATAACTAGAATATATTTTTCACGATGAGAGTTTTATAATACATTTTATTTTATTTAAATTTTTAAATTGCAATTCACTAAATAGTTTTAAAGTTTTATGATATAGTTTAGATTAGTTGAATGTATTTGTATTTTCAACAAAGATTAGTTGAATTTAACTGTGATTTGAATAATATATAAAAAAATTTCAAATATAGCTTTGAAACAAATATAGTTGGAAAAAACTTGTCACAATTAGTGTTTTATACTAAAAATGCATCTAATATTTGTTTTAAATATACTTTAACGAGAAAGAAAAAAAAAGAAAAATACATATTCTAAACAAATAGAGCAATAAATTCAATAAAATTACACAATATATTACAATAATAAGAAATCATTAATAAAATCATAATTGAGAAAATTTAAAATTAATAAAAAAATTATATATTAAAACCATGCATAGCATAGGTATAACGTTAGTTTATAATTATGTCACTGTCATCCAAATTGAAAAGAATTTCAATAAATCACGTAAGATTCTTAACTTCAATTACTTAAATTGCTGTATATACGTATTTGTGAATATATAGTTAATTAGATGTTATTAATGGCATAACTAGGAACATTTTTTAATAATACATATGTTACACCCTGAAAAAGGAAGAAACAAAAAAAAAAAAAAAAAAAAACAAAAAACAAAAAAAAAGGATACATTCTCTCCTCTTCCATTTTTCTACGTGTTGTTAGGATTAAGGAATATAGTTTTTTTAAAAAAATTTCTACAACTTGATTTTAAGCCTTTAAATTGCTTTGTAGGGTATTTTTTTTTTTTTTAGTATAGTAAACGAGGGGATTCAAATATAAATTATTATCAGGTCATTTATTATTTATTAAAGCTATCGCTGAGTGGTGCATACTTATATGCATTCTTGTTTAGAGTCTTACACTGCATTCTTTATTTAAGTTGTAGAACAATTAGACTATTGATAAGCTACAAGTCATTTCATAAAAATCTATATATATATTAATATATATATATATATATATATTATATTAAAAGAATAGATTTGTATATATAAAGAATAAGAATTTGGACTATAGAACTTGCAATGGGCCTCTGACAGCTCTCTCATGTTGTTGATCAAAATACCTCTTCCTTGTCCCAATGTGTAAGACTTAATTCTAAATTTTAATTTTAATAACCTTCCCCAAATTTAGGTAGGAAAGGATTTTCTTTTGCGTAGTAATCTAAATTTGAATTTCATTTCTAAATCATTTCTATATTTTTTTTTTTCATTTTGTTTAAACATATCATTAATCTCACCCCTACACGAAAAGTTTAAAAATTGTTATTCTTTTATGATATTTCAATAATAATATTATTATTACTTAATATAATGTATAAAAATGTAATTTATACAACAGAATTGAAAATATAATAATGTATAAAATATAATATCATGTACAAAAAAATAATATGTGATTTAATTTTCGAGGCCATAAGAAACTAAAAAACATTTATACATTAGCAAATAATTAATTGTTAGGTGAATTGTTAGGTGAAATAATAAAAAAAACAATCTCAACTTCGACAATTTTGTTTTAATTATAGCTAATATTTTTAATTTAATCAATGATATTTGTATTATATTTTTAATAATAATTTTGTCTTTAATACAACTGATTATGTGACTGTTAAAAGTAATTAATACGAGAGAAAATGCTTGTCTACACTTGATATGTTCATATACACCGAATAAATAATTACTTGCTATTTAAAAAAATGTCATAAATTAATATGGCTTTCAAAATTGGATCTAGTCAGTGACGGATGCTGACTTAGTGCGCTAATTGTTAACAATTGCTTTATAGTTCGGTGGTGTTGGCCTTTTATAACTAAATCATTTGGCTTAGGTTCAATATCTAATCCTCCTGACTAGTCTTTTTATAACATGAATCGTATATTGATAATGAGCTTGTATTTTTAGATATAACTAGTCTTTTTATGACATGTTTTATATGTTGATTATACACATTATCCGTACTCACTCAATTTTTTATATTTTTTATTTATATTTATATTCATTTTATTTTTTCATATTAAATATTAAAAAATAATTTTTATCTTATATTATTTAAATTTTTATAATGTTAAAATATTTTTATAATGTTAAAATAAAATTCATATAAGATTAATGTAAAGATAATGATTAATGAATAAAATAGCGATGTGTATATAAACATACATTTGAGATTAATTTATATTTTTATTTATCTAAAATTCATTATAATTACAATATGACCTAATAAGTATATTTCACTATATATATATAATAAAATATTACATATATTTTTAAAATTAAAATTTTCAATTGTTCGTCATCCTACACATATATATGTCCATTTTATTTAAAAATAAATTTTAAAAGTAAAAATTTAAAATTTTTGAAAAGTTTAATTATGTATATTCTATTTGAAATTTTGTTATTATAAGAATAGACTTTTTTTTCTTTTTTTTATCTCTCTTTTACATAAAATATTTAAATTATAACAAAAATGGAATCAAATATTTTAAAAATAAATTTATAAAATAAAATATAAAAAATTGTTTAATTAATAAATAATAAAAATATAAAATTTTCAAATGTCTCATTATTATATATATTTATTAAAAAACTAATATGTTCATACTGCTTTTCTTTTAAAAGAAAATGTCATGTGTTATATTAAATATCCAACCACGTTACATATTTGAGAAAATAAAATTATTTTGGTATTAAAAATTCTTAAATTATTGTTTTCATATTTTTCCCCTTATATATTTGAAATATTTACACTATTTTTGAAACGACCCGGAAAATTATTTTCAAAAAAAATTTTCATTTAAAAACTTAAATATAATTCTAACCAATTATATTATAAGACATATTATATTTAAAAATAATAAAGTTAATGTATCATGAATATATTTAACAAATATATTGCAAATATATTTTATATTTGCTAAACCAAATCCTAAATTAAACTAAACTCTTTTGAAAAACTTAGAAATCGATTGAAAAACCAAACTAAAATCATGATTTGAGCCAAACCAAACTCAAATTGACCCAAACCCCATCACGCAAAGAGAAAATTCTAGAAACCCAAAAAAAAAAAAAAAAAAAAAGAAGAGGACGAGAGAAGACTTCTACTCGTTTTCTCTCTGCAAAAAAAAAAAAAAAAAAAAAAGAGAGAGAGAGAGAGACTTCTCTCGTTTCTCTCTGCATGTCGGGGACAACTTGTCCCCTCCCGCATTTTTTTTTCGTTCTCCAGCCACCGGCCACCAAATCCGGTGAATAAATACTCTAAAATCATCTACTTGTTGTAAGGAGTTTGATTCAAGCCTTGGTTTACGCGATTTGAGCCCAGATCGAGAGAAAACTCAACCGAAATGGTTTGGCACTGTCGCAGCAACTTTTCCTATGACTTGAGGCTTCAAGGTAAGTGTCAATCGATTCCTTTCTTCTCCCTATTTCATTTAATGGCCTTCCCGCTGACTGATATAGCCGGAATCGAAAAATCCAAGGCGGTGACCACCGAAATTTCTAGGTCGATTTTTGGCCAAACGGTTGACATCCATGTTAAATTAATCACATATTAGTGATCCTCTCATCATAATAAACAAATTGATGTATGGTTTGCAATTTTTAGGTGCAATTGGATTTTCCGAACACCGCGCACGGTGGTCGGTGGGGACGGTCGGTCACCGGCCGGCGACCCTCTGGCAAGGCTCTGGAGGCATAATCTTCTCCTCTTCATGTTGATGTCAAATATGTAATCCAATTTGTCATTGCTAAACCTTATAACCCAATTCTACATTTTCCTTTAGAAATTAATTTGAATTCATTTTCCTATTTTACAATTATTCTAATGATGACATAGCAGAGGATGGACTTTGATTAAGAATTTACCCGATGGATGGGTTGTGTGTTGATGTGCGCAATTTATAAAACTGGATTGTCTAGTTTATGGAGGAAATGCTGCAGGATTTTCGGCAAACACTTGTTAAAGAACTAAATTAGTTATATCTTATAGGTGGTAACGATTAAGGCTTTTAGTATTACTATTTCCATTATGATTATGATTATTACTATTATTATTATAAAACATTACTTACAAAATAACTAGAAACTTTATTAAAAGTTATAAATTAGAGTAAATAAATAAATAAAGAAACAGAGTATATATATATATAGATATATATATATAGTTAGTTCGATAAGTTAGATAAGCGATTAGTAACCAAAAAATTAATAAATGAATGCAAAATACATTTCTCAAATTAGAACTCTTATTTAGAATTTTCTTTTTTTATTTTTAGATGTTTATAAAGTTCCAAAATGTCAAGACAAGGCTGGAAGAGTGCAGTAATAAAGATAGCCCTTTTAAAGACTATGAAGAACTGTGAGTAGTAGTGTTAAATAATTCCCATTATCCACCTGCATTTGCATCCATGCATACACGACTAAATGCTAGACATACATTATTTAGTAATCTGTTGATTTGTGTTGCATTAATTGTTGCTAGTGAATATGGTTTGATTAATTGTGATGTACTTTATGGATGCTTTGCTTGTGTGGAATTGGGATGAAGTGGGTCACCGTTGGATTTGTGAGGGCGGTTTATGATACCGTCGATCATGTATGGGGAAATCGGCGCCCTTGTGTACATCTGATGAAATATGATATTCGAGAGTGGTAAGTTTATCGATTACGGTGTTCTCGATCATGTTTATGGAGAATATGGCGACCCTTTCTTCTCTTATGATATATGGATATGAAACATCAATAGGGTGGCCTGACAAGGGTGGCCTCCTGTTGATATGGAAAAGAAAAAAGAGTATAAAAAAAATGAAAGGGCTGGTCAAGTGAGGTTGAGACTGGTCGGCCATGTATGAGGGATCGGCTCCCTGGTACACACTTGATAAGAGGGCGGGCCACATGTGAGAACGGCTCGTCGGGGGTTTTGGTAACGCCACTGACCAATTTTCACGTGATGTGATTATGTGAATATGTTAATATTTGTGATTGCTGTTGTTTTATCATTTGTGTGATAAACTGCACGATCATATAACTAGTCGATTGACTAAATTGATTTATTTATGCATTTGTGTGATTGTGTGGGGTGAGAGGGTTATCTAATCCGACTCATTGAATTTGGCGCTCACCCCTGCCTCTTTATGTTTTTTTTTTTTTTTTTTGATTTTTTTTTTTTTTTTTTCAGATAGTAGGAGGAAAGAAGAACCCTATAGACCCATCCGAGTCGAAATACAGATATATTAAAATTATTAATAGTTGTATTAAGCATGTAAATGAAAAGGATTGTAATTTATGGAGTTCCGTAATTGTATTCCAAATGGATTATAATTGAATAATATGGGCATATATATTTATTATGTGAATTGTATTTTGATACGTCTATGGAATATAGTTTATGGGCCTGAAGCCATGACTATGAATAGAATATGGGTTTAACTAATATAGGCTTATTACGGGCCTCAGAGGCCTTAAGCCCACCCAGGTCTTAGTGCCGGTCCGGCCCTTGGAAACCGGTCATGACAGTTTTATATAATAATTTAGTTTACACAAATGTTAAAAGAAAAAGTTAGACTCCATATTGCAATAAAATAAATTATTACATGTACTATAGAAATCAAAATTTAAACGAATAGTCATGGATATTATTAAGGATAAATATGATTGTTGATTGATGTAGTAATTAATTTTTTGTGAAATTGAGAAATAATCGAATGTAAACTTTTTAAATTAATTAATTAATATAAATTATTAAAAAAACTCAATTGATTAATAATTTAATATCATAATTTATCAATTTTACAAACTCAAATTATCATCAATTATTCAAAAAGATATTTTAGGATTTCTAAAGTTTCACTAAGGTTATTACAGGAAATCTCATTATTCTTCCTCATTCTCACTTTTATATAGTATAGACTAATCTTTTTTATGACGTGGGTTGCACGTTGATTATATATATATATATATATTGTATTCTTTTAATTTGTTTCATCTATATAATATTAAAGCATAAGTTTTTGTTTAGATTAAAATAAATATAATTAGTTAATTGGTATTACACTTTGCCGTACAAGTTATATGTAATAGTATTTCTTATGCACTTAATATTATTTTTATATAATGAAGTGGTGTCAAACTGAATTGATAATGATAATCATTTTAACTACAGTAGCATTATTACTTACTCAATGTGTTAGAGAAAGGAATATATACACATATACACAAATTCTTAAAATCCAAAATAGCACTATATAGTTCTAATTTTTTTCAAGTTTCTGAAACACTACACATATACACAAATTCTTAAAATCCAAAATAGCACTATATAGTTCTAATTTTTTTCAAGTTTCTGAAACACTATGTTCTTTCAAGTCGAACGGATTTAGGGTATAATAGAAAAAAAAATCAAGAAAATTAAAAACTTTTAATCCTTAATAGACCATTTATTTATTGGAAAGGAGATATAAATCTTTTATTAAATTAAAATTCAAATCAATTCTGTGGTACGCCTTTATTATATCAAATTTAAGAGCCACAATCTTATATCAACATTGATTTTTTATTCCTCATATCACGATTTCTGCATCTAGCCCAGCTTTGCAACTGAGAGACACATTCTGTTCTCCTATCCAAAAGAGATAAATTCGAGGAAGAGTTCCAGAATGAACGAACAAGATCAAAAAAACCATCATCCAAAAACTATGAATTATCAAACCTGAAAATATATTTTACATATTCAATCTGATCAGGCCGAGTATAAAAAAGAATACGGGACTGACCAAAGTAGTCACAATAGAATCAAGAAAACACTAAAGCCATCGGTCTGATGCTATACCCGGATCAAGTCTTTCTCTTGTAACAACAGAATTATTTCGACGCAATTCCCAAGTAAACAAAGATCCCATATACGGCAAATCATGGAGAGAGCAATCCGAAAGAGTTTTCCGAAATCCCGAAAGCAGATAATGTGGCTGAGGAACACCACTAAGTTTTTCATCCGCTGTTAACTTGTCATTAAAATCTTCCAGAAAAGCCCAAGGTCTAGAGTCAAAATGTGCCAAGGTACGAAGCATATTCCAAGAAGATCGACGACGATGTCGCTCAGGATACTCATAGAAACATGTTAAACGAACATCATGACTTTCACAAACTATGTTACATTACTCGAATATCTGACAACATGAAGTGGCAAATCATTATTGCAAAAAAACACATAACCCTCCACCCATGCCAATTCTATCCACAGTGAATGTATTATCAAAACCCAGCCAATACCGAACTTGATTAATTCGGGAACCTAGAGCCCTTGTTTCCATCAAAAAAGAAAAAAAAATGTGGCTTATAAGTCAGAGAAAGTTCTCTCATAGCAACGAACTGATCGAGGGTTGCCAATCCCCCGACAATCCCAGCTTAAAGCTCTCATAATGCCCGGCTGACCTGATGAAGAGGCTCAGCCGATATACAATTGTCATATGAAGCCGTAGGAGAATCCGTAGAAGAAGAAACTACAACAGCCTTTGATTTTATTTTCCTGGATGGTTTCTTTAAGTGAGCAATTTTTTCCAGACCCTCATTTTCCATAAGGCCCACAAATGAGTTAGAAAAGCCCATATGATCAGTGTGATCCACTTCCCATAAGCCTATATGAATAGTTGTTTGTTATCATCAGTTTATTGTGGATAGTTGTTTGTTTCTAATCAAATGTTTTTTTTAAATGAAATCTTAGATTCTAATTAAGTCTAATCTTATAATTAATAATATTAATTTTTTTTTTCATTTTATTATCCACAATTGTTTACTAAATATATTTGAATGTTTAACATCTGATCATATAAAAATTAATTTTAGAATAATGTTATTCACTTACGATAATATTTTTCTCAGATGAGAAAATCTGAGAAAAAGTGGAAAGGAAGAGAGATGCAAATCCAAAGAAATTTGAGAGATGAAAGGAATAGGATCTTTGAGATTCAGGAGATGAGAGGAAGAAAGAGATCATTGCTGCCATTTTTCTCCTCTGTTTCTTTTTTATTTTTTTTGAACTCCTGTCTATGACATAGCAAGTGACGTGGTGTATACGTGTCATTTTTTTAATCAAAAGTGACGAGTCAAAATATGCATTTTGCCTCTTTAAAATTATTGCTCATTATGTCAAATGACATCTTATTAAGTATGCACAAATATGTATATGCAGCAATTCAAATAATTATATTTGAAGATCCATTACGTGATTTATTGAATTGTTTCATTCTAGATGATGATAGTGACAAATTCTAAATAAAAATGATTATTAATTTTTGGGACAATGATTTAATGATATGAAACTTATTCAAATTAAATTTTAAGTAACTTAAATTAAATTAAGCCAAGACTCCAATAATTTTAATATTATATAAACATGTCACCTCAGCTTAGGTATGAATGGTTCAGAGAATATTTCAATCACCATTGAGACAATTATAATTAATAAACCAAAATTAAGAATTTATAAGGATAGCGTTGCGCCAGAGTACCATTTATGGGAACGCGTTTAATTTATTGATTCATACCTAATTAAGTATTCAGTAATCAACAGTTTATAGCTCATAGAAGTCTCAATCAGTTGTTGATTCATCAACTATATTTTAAAGATTTTTTTCATATTAATGGGTAGGTGATTGATATTCTATTTCGACTCTATTAATTTCGTAAAAATAATTATAAATATTTTTTTTTTCAAATTAATATTTTTTATCATTATGTTCATAATTATTAGAAATAATAATTTTCTATTACATAATTATTAGAAATAATAATTTTCTATTAAATATATTATTTTTTAAAAAAATTTACCAATATTTTTATTATTATTAATATATTAAAATAAAAAATAATATAATTTTACTATATAAAAATTATTCTATCTTCGTTCTATAATACTTTGTCACATTTGAAAAAATTAGTTTATTCTAAAGATACCCTTGTCACATTGTTATGGTTTTCAAGGAGTAATAATATTTTTTTTTTCCGTTCTATAATACTTGTCACATTTGAAAAAATAGTTTATTCTAAAATACTTGTCACATTTATGGTTTCAAGGAGTAATAAATATTTTTTTTCTATGTTTACCATTTGTACATGACCAATAAATACTACTTGAATTTAATGGTTTTCTTAAAGAATTAGTATTAAATTAAGAGTAATATAGTCAATTTACTCAATAATTCATTATAATTTGGACAGATTTAATAGTTTTATTAAGAAACGTGAAATTCCAAATGTGAGAAGTATTGTGGAACTGACGTAGTATCAAAATTTTATCAAACAACAACATTTATCAGCTAATTATTTTCAGCAATCTTTATCATCTATCAACTGGTATGAAATATTAGTCGAAACCCAATTTGTACGTAATGATTAAAGTAGTATATTGAATATTTTATCATATGTTTAATCAAACAAATATTAATTGGCCAAGAATCAATCTTTCTCTTTGCTTTCTCTCTCACTTCTTTTTATTACTAATTTATTATTTTGCCATTAAGAAATAGTGGTTTGGCTATTACCTTCGAATAATTATGCCTTTATAAAATGAAGCCTGAGATTGATTGAAGTATTTGGGTAGTTTACACGTGCAAGAATTAAATCCTAATCCATTATTAGTTGTTAAAAATTGAAATTCTTTACCACTCAAACAGCAGATTTCGTATAAAAATGGTCAAAGTAGAATAATAATATAATCACATGGTATTTTGACTTTCGTTTCATTTGTCAAAACATCCAGAAGTGAGCTTTTGTTACCAATTTGTTGACAATTGCATATTCGTCAAATACTTATCCACTTGCGGCCGTCTAATCTGCTGCTGGCTGCGTTGGATATATACAACAATTTGGGACTAAATAATCTCTTTCATAATGTCCCAATTTAAGCGATTCTAATCTTGAGCCGTGAAATGAAATAATAGAGATCACTTCTCTTTTAATTAAATATTTTGAATTTAAATATTGGATATAGAGTTTTTTTAAATATTCGGGACCAAATGGTTAATATAAAAAAAAAAAGGCAATTTCACCCGCTTTTTAAGATAAAACTTGCGCCGACAGATCTATAAGTTGAGCCATAATTAAATCAATTATAATAAATATTTTTTTAGTACTAAATAGCTAAAAAAATCAATACAATATACTTGCACGATCAAATTTATAAAAACTCTCATATGTTTATCATACACATAATCAATACAATGTCAAAATCAAACTTTTTGAATATGGTCAGCTTCTGCAATGCTACAGTGGAACAATATGTAATAATGTTTGAAAATGACGTATGCATGACACAATATATATATAAAATTTGTACTCATCAAATTTATTTATTTATAAATTGGAATGTCAAAGGCTCACCATGTTTCGTTATATATTTTACTTTGAATTTTTCTGGTCAAATTAATAATATTGGTAGGTCGCTTGCACATTAATTAATCCTCTTACTCTATCTTTCTTCATCATCATTAATTTCTAAGCCTAACCCATCACTATAAAGCCAGCTCATTATTTCCATCTACCAAAATCACAACACAGACCCATTTGTTATTTCATTTAAAGAAAATGACTTCATTATTGCTCTCATCATTTTTGCTCTTCCTTTCGTTGTGCATAATATCAACTTCAGCTTCATCATCTCCTGATGGGGAAACCATAATTGAATGCCTTTTGACGCATTCTCAATCTTCTAATCCAATCTCTAATGCTATTTACACTCCAAAAAATACTTCATACTCATCTGTCTTACAAACTTATATTCGAAATCTTCGATTCAATGAATCCACAACCCGTAAACCACTACTTATTGTCACTGCATTGCACGAATCACATGTGCAAGCGTCGATTATTTGTGCTAGAAAACATGGATTGCAAATGAAAATCCGAAGCGGAGGCCATGACTACGAGGGTATCTCTTATGTCTCGATTGTACCTTTTTTTATCCTCGACATGTTCAATCTTCGAAAGATTGAAGTTGATGTTGTTAGTGAGACTGCATGGGTTGAAGCTGGAGCTACCCTTGGTGAAGTTTACTATAATATTGGTAATAAAAGCAATATTCATGGCTTTCCGGCGGGTGTTTGTCCTACCGTTGGCGTTGGCGGTCATTTTGGTGGTGGTGGATATGGTAACATGATGAGAAAGTATGGACTTTCTGTCGATAATATCATCGATGCGAAACTAATCGATGTTAATGGAAGACTTCTTGATAGGAAATCTATGGGAGAAGATCTTTTTTGGGCTATAACAGGGGGAGGAGGCGCTAGCTATGGTGTAGTAATCGCTTACAAGATAAAAATTGTTCGAGTTCCTGAAATAGTAACTGTTTTTCGCGTTCAAAGAACTCAAGAACAGAATGTAACTGATATTGTTTATCAATGGCAACAAATTGCACCCAAGATTGACGATGATCTTTTCCTTAGGGTTACGTTTGATGTGATTAATAGTACTCAAGGTAGTGGAAAGACAATTAGGGCAACATTACGGGCTCTTTTTCTTGGAGATAGTACCAAACTTCTCTCGATTATAAACGCGAAGTTACCTCAATTAGGATTGATTCAATCAGAATGCATTGAAATGAGTTGGCTTGAATCTGTCTTGTTTTGGACTGATTTTTCTCTTGGAACACCAACTACTGCTTTGCTTAGTCGAACACCGCAAGTGCTTACCCATTTGAAAAGAAAATCGGATTACGTTCAAGAACCGATTCCAAGAAATGGGTTAGAGAGTATTTGGAAGAAGATGATTGAACTTCAAGTGCCTCAATTAACATTCAATCCTTACGGAGGAAAAATGGCAGAAATTCCTGCCGATGCAAAGCCATTTCCACACAGAGCTGGCAATTTATGGAAGATTCAGTATGCAACTAATTGGAATGAAGATGGAACAGAAGCAGCAAATCGCTATATAAATTTGACAAGGCAGCTTTATAATTTTATGACTCCTTTTGTTTCAAAGAATCCAAGAGCAGCATTCTTGAATTATAGAGATCTTGATCTGGGTATTAACCACAATGGTAAGAGAAGTTATTTGGAAGGAAGAGTTTATGGAATCAAGTATTTTAAAGATAATTTTAATAGGTTGGTGAAAATCAAGACTAAAGTTGATCCTGGTAATTTCTTTAGAAATGAACAGAGCATTCCAACTTTTCCATACTGGAAGAACTAGGTTGGCTTCAATTGCAAGATGATGTGTTCTGTGTGTTTCTTTTTTTTTTTTTTTTTTTTTTTTAAATTCTGGTGTGTTTCTTTTTTTTTTTTTTCTTTTTTTTTTTTTTTTTTCTTTTTTTTTTTAAAGAATTATTAGATTACAGTGATTGTTTGGACTTATACATCTGTATGTATTGTATTGTATATACGTTTGAAAATAAATTATTGATTTCTTTTTATGTAGCTAAAGAAAGAAAATGATCTACTGTGGTTGTTTGAACATTTCTACTTTTTTCTGCGTAATTATACATTTTAAAAATTATTTACCAACAAAACAATTTTCAATACTATAATATTTAAAGTTTAACATGTTTCATTATAAAAAGTTAAGTATTAAAATTTTAACATGTATATTTTAATTTTGAATAATTTGACAAATTAATAAGCTAATGATGTAAATTTTTGACTAATGACATTCGGATTCAAAAACTCGTTCATCAATTAATTAAATCCAAGTTATTGTTAAAAGTTAACTCAATTTGACTCATTTTTATCCCCAATTATAAAATGTTGGGGCTCAATGGGGTCCACAAGCCATTGCCACTTGCTTATATTTAATATATTCTAAATTTATATATTTTCTAAAATATTTTAAATATAGATCTTTTCAATAAAATCAAAATAAAGGATTATATGTTGGAAAAAAAATATAAAGAAAAATTCAATTTATTTTATTAATATTATTCGGAAAAAACTTAAAAGCTCCTAGAACTACATTCAAATCATCAAATATTCCCGGTACACCATGTCCTGACAGAAAGTTACTTTTGCACCAATACAAATATATAACAGACTTTTTTTTTTTTTTTTTTTTTGAGCTTTCTTTCAACAAGGATGAATGATTGATTGTTCCAGTTTTTTTTTTTTTTTTTTGGCTTCTTTCAACAGGTGATGATGATTGTTCCAGTATATTACTGTCTTGGCTCCCTCAAAAATTCACTTGATCAATCACGTCTGAATAGAAAGTTAGACTATTTCCATTATAATTTCTAGTTCTCACCCGTGAGAGTGGCCATTTCGCGGTTTTTAGAATCGGAATCAAAATTGGAATTGGTGATTTTTTTTAACTAGTTAGAACCAATGATTTTATCCAGTTTCAACTGTTTTTTTTTATTTTTTTAAATATTTTTTATGAAATCCTATAATTAACCCTCCTAATAATTATAAACAAATATATAACAGTTAGTTTTAAGGGTATTCGTAGAAAGTTGATTTTTTAAATTTACTATAAATACCCCTTTTCATTTATAATCCCCTCATGCAAAATTAAAAACAAATAAATTAAGTTTAAAACTCTTTTTTGAAAAAACAAATTTAGTTCAAGCTTTTTTTAAAAAAAATTAACTTCAAGCCTTTTTTTAAATTTTTTTGTTAAATTTTTTTAAAAAAATTATTTCATAAATTTTTAAATTCTAAATTTTCAGAAAACCAATGTTCTCTAATTTTTTTAGTTTATAATTATGCGATTTGCATGAAAATCGGCCAAAACCGTCTATTTTAAGACATTAAAAAATCGAAACTGTAAACTCAATTTTAAACTGTAATTAAAATCGTCAATTTTCAATTCGGTTTGAAATCGAAACCGTATCCATCCTATTCACCCAGAACCATTGTCCTATGCTTCCTGCCTACCCTACCGTACCCTATCACGGATTTATTTAGTGGCCAAATAAATAATTTGAATTCATTAATTTTTATTTTAATTCATCAAACACTTTTAATTTATAAAAATATGAAAAAATAATTATTTCATTCTTTGAGATTTTATAAAATTAATTAATTCATACTCATATTTTTACATATTAGGTATTTAATTTCTAAGATTTGTTTCCGTCACGTCTAAATGCACAGTGAAAGACTAAAATACCTTTTGAAAAGTCAAAAATTAAAGGCACTGTCCCTCTTCTTCTCCTTCATCTCCTCAAATCTCCATTTCTGCTGTTATACAAACTCAATAAATAAATAAATATATTAAACAATCATTAAAGTTATACTGTATCTCACTTTGACAGCATTACAAATCATAAAAAAAAAAAATCATTTCAAAAATCTGCCCTTCTTCTCCAACCACTTCTTCATTTTCCAGAACTAGTACTGTGTTTTTTTTTTTTGGGTGTATTTGTGAGGTGTGTGAAGTAGTTTTCTGCCATTCATTTCTCTAACAACTTGGACAATAATCGGCAGAATAAATACAAAGTAAAGCCCATAATAAACTGAAGAGGCAAGACCTCAAATTTGAAATTAGCTTTAGATATCAAAACACCTTTTTTTTTTTTCTTTTTCTTACATTAGCAGTATCATTTAATACCTTAAAATAAAGCTTTGGCCATAACTACAGCAAAATAAAATACAACATTAACACATACTGCCACGAGTATGTTCTAACGAAAGCAGGGCCACTTCGCAGTTACAGGAAAGCAGGCAAATCAAAATCTGTTACAGAGTAGTGGAATCTCCAAGCTTCTCCAGTCTTGTCCTCGAAATACAAAATTAGCAACACCTTTAGGTGGTGGACGGAGTAAATTTGGGCTGTGGTTGTGAGAGAAGAAAGACGACGGAGAAGAGGAAAATGGGTAAGGAAAACAAAATTTAAGGGTACCATTTGTGATTTTAAATAACTCTCTCTCTCTCCTTTCTTATTTAACAGAAAAAACCTATGATTTTGAACGGAAAGATCATGACCGAAGTAAATTTCAGACACTAAATATTTAATATACAAAAATACAAAATGAATTAATTAATTTTATGAAAGCTCATGATTTTTCCTAAAATTATTTTAAATGATACAAGAGTACAGGAATAACATGGAAAGTAATCTTTTCCATTGCTTCAAGGTCTTTATCGTTGAGAAGCAACCAAAAAATGACGGAGAAGGGAGGAGGGGGGCCGGCCAAATATATTTTTTTTAAATTACCATATAAATTATTGAAATTTTTTATATTACCCTTTAAAAAAGTAAATATTTTTAATTTTGCCTCATTAACTCTTGAATTAATTTTAAACCCGTAACTTTAATTTTTGACTCCGACACTGCAACCAGATAATCTTGTCTTCTATTTCTTAAACCCGCATGTGAGGATCTGTTCGATAATATTAAATTTAGAAGTTTTGAACTGCTCAAATCTAAATTTTTTTTTCTATTTCTTATAATTAAAAGGATTGATACTGAGAGTATTTCTTGGTTTCTTCTACCAAGTTACCTTTTATAAAAAGGTAATTATGTAGTCAAATCCTCTTTGTCTTGGATTTCTTAGAATGACAATTATTTTAAATTTAATCTTTTATGACTTGACGAACCATAACACTGGAGAATCTTGAAACGCAACATGACTTGACGAACCAGAAGACGAAGACAACGAAGGAGGAAACTCATAAAGATCACCAGGACTACTGCAGCTGAGAAGAGGATTCCGCGTATGCAGATCCTTCACACAAAAGCCAAAAGGATCAAATTCAACAGTACAATTATTATCACGAGTAAACTTTTAATAGAAATAAGATTACGAGCAACTGAAAGAACAACCAGAACATTTTTAAGACGAAAATTAGAGGAAGGAGTAGACAACATATAATTACCAACATGAGTAATTGGAAGTGAAGACCCATTACCAAACTTAACAGAATCATGACCTTGATAGGATTGAACATTATTAAGAATACCTGGATTGCCAGTCATATGAGAAGTAGCCCCAGTATTGGGTAACCATGGAGTTGATAGGATTGAACATTATTAAGAATACCTGGATTGCCAGTCATATGAGAAGTAGCCCCAGTATCGGGTAACCATGGAGTTGGCACAGGTTCTTGAAGATTGAAAGCTGCATATGATTGATTATAACCAGATGGACCTGACTGAGACTGACGCAGAAAGAAGGGACAATCACAGGCTGAATGAGAAAATTCAGAACAGATTTGACACTGAACAGATTGATTCACTTGTTGAGGTATAGTGTGCGAAACTGGCGGTTGTGCTCCAAGAATTCCAGTGTTATAATGTGTTGTATAGTAAGGATTGGAAAATGATTGCTGTGGATTGATTGCTGTGGATAGGATTGTCCTCTTCTTCCTCTACCTCGCCTGCCACGTCCACGATTGTAAGAATCATAAGAATTCTGGTTTTGATTGTATCCTCGACCACCTCTTCCACGACTTGAATTGTTATTATTTGTTGGTGACCGATTGACAGCAACAAGAGCAGTTTGAGAAACAGACATTGCTGTAGACGAGGCCTGCCTTTTTGTTCGATTCTTTATCCTGAGCTCTTGCAAATATAAAGCAGTCCGAGTTTCAACAAAATTCGGAAGAGGTGTTTTGCTGGTGAGGCTTATAACCATATTCTCATATTTAGTTGGTAATCCTTCAAGAACCTGCATTACCAGATCATCTTCTCCAATTTGATACCCAATAGTACAGAGAGAATCATAAATACTTTTGAGTTTTTGCAAATACTCATCAATCGAAACAGTGTCCTTAGTAACACTGTAGAATTCTACCTTTAATTGAAGGAGTTTGGCATGTGCCTGATCTTTAAACAGAGTTTCAATAGAATCCCAGGCTTGCTTCGCTGTAAGTGTGACATTAGGTTTAATAAGACTTCTCAAAATTTCAGAATTAACCGTAGCTTGGATCCATGAGAGGACAAGAGAATCAACTTGCTTCCATGACACAAACTCTGGACCATGACACAAACTCTGGATTACGTATCGAAACACCATCCACAGTAATTTTCTCAGCAGGAGATTGTTCAGAACCATCAATATGACCATAGACATTGTACCCTTGAAGCACGGGTACCATAAGTGATCTCCACACCAGATAGTTTATGAAAGACAGGGTTTCACTGACATAATTTCTGATATTTGAAACAGAAAAGGAAGGATGAGTCATAGAAGGAATAGCAGAAGAAGACGACACACCAGTATTCTGAGTAATGGAAGGAGGTGTTGAGGGAGGAGTGACCATTATGATAGAAAAGACGGAAAACGCAAAGAAAAGACGGAAGACAGAAAAAAAAAAAAAA